AATTCATCATATTCAAATGCGTTGGAATATTTGAATATTTATTTTATTTGTTATAATGTTTTCACATTTTTCCCGAAAATCAGACAGCAAAATCCCACATCCCGGACATTGAATTCGGCAATTCATGAGTCACGGCCGAATCACTTGCTATATTTCATCCGTTTCCCGGAGTCCGCAAATACCCTTCCACTTCCTGTTTAGTCATATAGGAAGCCAGTTGAGTGAATCCTACGATAACTGGCTTTGAAGTGGCTTTCAAATATTTAAACTTGTTGCTAATGTTATTGGTTTGAAGTAGTCCTTCCTTAAGTTCATGGAATCAAAACAATGCAATCTGTTTCATAACTAATTCGGAGAGAAAGAAAACATAAACTTCCGCGACCTGATACGATACGGTTAGTTTTTTCCGACATTCAAAAACTTCGAAAGCTTCAGTTCATTAAATCACACATATTGAAAATCCTTAATCAAAAATCCACCCTTTTTGATTCATTGATTCGCATTGTTTATAAACTTAGATTAGAGGCTTTGAAAGCATTTGTAGTGAACAAAGTTCAACTGTAAGCACCTGCGAATACCAATCTTATCTGTTAATTTAGGCAATTGGAGAGGGCTAATTTTAAAATACAAAGTTGACTAAAAATATTCATGTTACAATGAAAAACGGAAGTTTACTTAAATGATATCACARTACTTAAATCATTTATAATAATAATCATCTTCCATCGAGAGGACGTGAATACTTTACTGTTCGTCCGTTGTCAAAAAGCAATTGTGAATTTTCCCCTYTCAGAACAAGAACTTCTTCACTGGCTAATTATGCTCATGAATTTTATTTCATAGTTTTTCTCGTGGAAAGAAGCAAAGACACGGATTCAGTATAAAATAATAATTTCAAAACTAGAATCAAGAGAAACTAACTTGTAAAGACAAAGAGAAAGAAAGAGAGAGAGAGAGAGAGAGAGAGAGATTTTACATACGAAGATGGAGAGGCTAATTGCAAATATCTTAATTTATATAAATGAGGCAAAGCGCCTTTTTGTGTGGATTTTACTGTGTTTTGGACTCAAGCAAGTRCCTAAGAACTCCAGCGGTTTTAAGAAATCTTTATTGTCATTTATAAATATTGAAAATATACCTAAAAATTTCACCCTATTTGCATAGTGCTCTAACATGCATCTAGCTTCTTGTACCGCGAGCGATTAAAATGAACCCAGCGGAATTTGTGCGAGAGGAAATGAGTAGAAAAACGCGGGAAAGAGGTTGTCTCATCACTAGAGAGTTTTAGATTGACTTTATTTCTCCCCGCAAACGGCAAACGTGACCACGTTTTCATCGTTTTCCTGTATTTTACTTTACCTTTTTATAAAACTTTCTCACTACACACAAATATTCTTTTGTTTTTCTACTACTTGGATTCTTTTGCAAGTCCATTTCAGTAATGTAAAATACTTTTTCACTGGTCAACTGACGTTTGACGTTTGCCGTGAACGTAAATCAAACACTCTCTGCCAATTACCTGCCACCGTACTACGAAATGGCTAGCTWTGTCGGGCTTAATGCTTCAGGGAAGGGTTTACTAGCTTCTATGACTACACATCTGTTCACATTAGCTATTGTTATTATCCTACCAGAAACGAGACTCTCAGCAGGTTGTCGTAGTTCACTGCGGTCTCGTTGACTCGGGCCACAGCAAGAGATCATTAGGTGAGAGTTGGTTTTAGAAATCCTGTTAGCCTCAGGAGTATCTTGGTTTGTACAAACGGCTCTCCTAGTTATTTCTTTTGAAAAGTGACTCSATTATTTCAGATCATAAGAGAAATCTGGGGTGCTTACTATTTCAAACCAATTCATCCGGTTGGAAATTCATTCATTGACGGGTAAGAACCCTTAAATGACAAGCAATAAAGTGTAATTAATTAATAGCACTGATAATAAAAAAGCTTTYGATGGATAAAAAATATATAGTAGCAAGCAAATCTATTTCTAAATACGTAATAAAAGAGCGGGAAATTTTTGACTTTCGAAAAATGGTCAAGCGTCTACCGAAAGAACCGAAAAGAGCGGGAAAAGTGATTACCTGAATCGGATCGAAGGTTTTCCGGAACTTTCCGATCGGATTAATGATACATGGATACCTTTTGTTTTTCCAACCGGAATTTTCCCACGTAACTAAGTGTAACTAAGGTTGAAGAGCACTTAGCAATATTTGTCCGTTATGAGGCATTCATCRCACTGGACAGTTATCTTAATGACTGCGTTCAGATATGGTATAAAAGACAACAATTGTATTACTGGATTAATTTGTTAAAAGCAAGAGGCTAATACGATAACCTCAAGACTGAATAAAAACGAAGGATTTCCCATCGAAGGCAAAACCTTCGTGAAGTTCTTCCAAGTTCGTGAAAAGTCCGTACTCGCAAGAGATATGGTTCTCCAAGATTTAGTTTCAGACATAATTTGGTAGATCAAAAATACTCCAACAGTGTCGAGCTGTCGTCGAGCTGTGTAAAAAAAAAGGATTTTTCCAGGCTCTCTTAGCTTTAGACATTGTAGATAATTATTCAGCATTTGCGACTTTAAAAAATTATACATGAAGCTTGCGGAAAATGTTGTCACGAAGGGCTACAAGGTAGCAAGTACCTGGCTCGGCATAGTGACGAGGGGCGAGTGCAGCTCTTTTTTCTTCATCACGCTTGTCATTTCGTAAAAACTATTTCTGCGAGAAGTACTTCGCTGTAAGTTCTTCAGTTCAGTTGAGTTTTCTAAAAATTCTTTTRGAGAGTTCAAAGCGTTTACGTACGGAACTCGGAGGTCACGAAGACGGCTGAGATTAAATCAAAACTTTATCAAAACACCTCAAGTAAGAAACTGATTTTTGAGTGCATGAATTACGACTTGCGAGGGTAATATTTCAAAATGTATTAACCTAATAATTTGGTACTAGAACGTTTGACAATACAACAAAGGTTCCTAAGTGTGCCGCGTAAATTTTCGCTTCATATCCAAATCAATGAAAACAGAGGTTTTGTTATTAACACATGAATGAAAACAAAATAAAATTGCCACGTTCCTTAACACCTGCCTTGAATTCTTTTATGACTAGTAATAATAAAGGAACAGGTCTAGAAGATAGAAAGACATTTTTGAATAACCTTATACAAATCACAGGACTCAGTAGTCTTGCCTTTAGTTAATTTAGCGAGGTGTTAGCAAATGATTTTAAAGTTTTGCGTAAGATAAATATCAATAATTTGTTCAAATGAAAATACACTTGATTTAAAGCGACTATTCAAGGAGTATAAAAAATGAAATTTCAAGGAGTATGTTCAGCTAAATATGCTAAGGTTTTACATGGTGGTTGCACATGGCCGACTTTCAGATTCTCCAGTCTTTCTGACTAGATCTATTTCAGAACCATGCAAGTAATGATCAAAGCAAAAATTCAAGGAGTTTTCAAGGAGTTTCGTTAAAATCATAAAATTCAAGTGCTTTTCAAGTGCCCTCGAAAACGTKAATTAAATTCAAGGAGTTTAAGGAGTAGCACGAACCCTGCYAACATGAATACCATRATTTGCACAAAAAAAGAAATTACAAACTTGATTTTAAAGCAATGTTATTCACACACAAAAAGAAACTACAAGATTATTACACAAATTGATCTTTGAAAACGTAACCTTTTTTTAAAAAAAGCGCGGTGTTAGCTAAATATATTTTTTGTTCAAGACATGATACAGAATTCGTACAAAATAAATAAAAACTTGATATAGAACAAATTTCACGAGAAAAAAAAAGACAGAGAGGCCTGGGAAATGATAAAAATGTATAACAAAAATCTCAAGTTTTTCTTTGCTTTRTTTCTGACAGCTAGTGTTAGAATAACAGCTGTATTTTTGTTTCGTCTAGAGCTATATTAAGAAATACTAGCTCAATAGCACAAGTCAAAGTAACTATACGRGAAACACAGACAGGAAAATCATAAAAAACTAAGGCTGGCATTATTTTAGGAGAAATATTGACTAATAATAATTGGAGTATTTTATGCATAAACTTTAAATTTTTTTACAAATAAATACAATAAAAGCTAATCTGAAGATCAATTCAAGCACTAACTAAACCTCACAATATYGAAAATGAAAGAAATGTCTTACATAAGAAAACCGTTAATGCAAAGGATTTTCTTCCGTGTTTTTCAAAGTCAGAGTATGGCTAACGACCTGAAACGACCTCTGGGCTGATCAAAGTCAGGGCATGACTAACTCACAGATCAAATTCTGAAATGACCTCTGGGCTGATCAAAGTCAGGGCATGGCTAGCTCATAGATTGAACCCTGGAAGAACCTCTGTGCTGATCTAAGTCATGGGCACAGCTAACTCACAGTCGGAACCCCGAAACAACCTCTGTGCTGATCAAAGTCAGGGCACGGCTAAATCACAGAAACAACCTCTG